TATATATATATATATATATATATTTACGAGCACATGTACATATATGTATATGTATATATATTTATATAATATATATACGCTCTAAATATACGCGTTGTAAATGCATCTTGGAATTGGTGCAATCTCGCCGACGGTGTGTCTCGACATGCGTCGGATGTTTACAGGGCCGGCGATCATGGCGCCGCGCCTCGTCGTTCATTGTCCATCGCTTCTCAGTCACCAGTTGGGACGATTACGCCCCGTGGATTTTCCACGGAGCAGCAAATGCGGTATCGAATCCGAGAGGGGTAGGGGGAGGGGGCCAAATGGAAAGGATAACGGTCTGTACAGTATTGCGAGGGGTGAATCGGAACGTCGAGCTGAAAAATTCATTCATTCATTCGGCGTTCGACCGAAGGCGAACTCGTTCTTGCCTCAGACTCTTACTCTCGCGTGCACTTTTACGACGCGATCAAGTAGCGTGTAAGAAAAATACAGTTTCTGAAAGTCAAGAAGAGTTCGTGCGGCCGAGAAGCGTACTCCCGAACATCATCATTGTCGTCGTCATCGTCGCTGTCGCGGTCGTCATCATGATGGTCGTCGTTATCGTCATCGTGGCTCAAACTCGAAGCAGTTCTGAGCAGCTCCTGAAAACGCGAGTCCAAACGATAGGAAATTCTCGGAAGAATCATGAAAACTCTACTTTCCGAAGGGGCAGGGAGCAAAAAATAGAGAAAGAGAGAAAGGGAATGCAAAAGATCCTGGTTCGGGATATATAAACAGTCGAGAGTTAGCTGCCAAGGACAAGCGAATCGATTTGTAAAGTAAGAGAAAAAAGAGTCTCGTCGGAGGAGAAGAAGTAGGAGGACGACCTGGGGAAGAAGGGGAGGAGACTGAGAAGAATCTGTGTAATCGAGCCGAGTGACGTTCTGAGCGACGTTCCTCGGTAAACTTCGCGTCGGGGAAAGTCTATATGAGCGTGCCATACGGGCTCCAAAATGTCGTTTCACCGTCGACCAGCAATGGGGATTCCAACAAGGCGTTGATCGTCGTTGCAGTCGTCGTCGTAGTCGTCGTCATCGTGATCAGTGGCGCATGTGTCAATTCAGTGATGGTGGTCGAACGGTGTCTTAACTTGGCTCTTGGCATCGTGAGATCACGAGAGGGCTGCTGCAGCCACTTCAAGCATAGAACTCCCGATTGTGATGAGGCGCGCCCGGCTTAGGGAAGGCCTGCGCCGCCGGTGATCTCCTCGGCTCGTCCAAAGCATATGAACCCTCATCCTTCTTGCGCATCCGGTACACGATGAACATGACCACCAGTATCGCGCATAAAAGGCCCACTACCGCGCCGCCGATCACAGCTGGAAAAATACGATCGAGATCTATCTTAGATGTCATCAGAAATCATAGGGATATTAATATACTGAATATCGTAGTGGTCATCACATTTAGTGGTCAATACATTTGCCATTTGTAATAAAATAACCGTTCCTTCAAAAACATTTGAAACGCTGGAGAGGGCCAACATTGGCCAAAATATACATTTTTTGTATATGACGATTGTTGTGTTAAACTCTAATAAACAAAAAACAATTTTAACTATAAAATCGGCTGTGATTCTTATATGCGGACAAAACAATTCCATTGGTGTAACAGAATTTTCCGTTGTTTGGAAATAAAAGGAAAATTTGATTGTAAGAACAGAAAGATTCTTGTAAAAGTTTTTACTCAATTAATTACTCTCAGTTGTCTCAACTGAGTTTTAATGCAACTGAATTCTCACACGAATGTTCTCAGTCACGGTAATAGAGATACCATTTCTTGTCACCAAGTTTTCGTCTTATCTCTATTCAATTACGGAAATTAGATTTTTTTCGTATAAATCACACGCATTTATACCTTTTGCTACTTTTTCTTTCAAAAGCTAAAGCAAAAATAATTTTATTTACACCTTTCGTTGAAACAAAACTGACGATAAATCTCATCATAGGAAAAAGGAACTAGAATTGGACTAGTTGAAATCCTAGTTGCCCGGTTAGAATCCTAATTATATGGTCACTTCTAGCTCTTTCTAAGTAAAATTTGTGTGCACATTTAGTCATTTGTGTGCGGAAGCTCTTAAAAAGTGACATCGAGCGAAAAGACTATGGGGAGAGAAATTATCTCTCTTCTCAAACAGAGAGAGACACGACACGAGGTCTTGGACGTTTCGACGTGTGAGATATCATCGTGCTTCGACGACGAATTCCCGTTACTTACCGGCTAGTACGCCCGGCTGCGCGAAGAATGAGCTGGCGCGGTCCTCGTGTTTCGGATTCATGATGTACACTTCGCGGGTGTCGTCGGTGTTGTCGTGATCGTCTTCGGCACCCGAAGGCTCGATTACGTCGACTTCGTTGCCAGGTCGGTTTACCGCATCGATGGTCGTCTGGAAATTGGATATGGCCTCAATCTCTCTCTCTCTCTCTCTCTCTCTCTCTCTCTCTCTCTCTCTCTCTCTCTTCCCTTCTCGCGCGCGCGTGCGTTAATCTGTTTAATTCGATCGCATCGAAAAGGAGAGGAGGAACATGCAGGAACGAGACGATGATGATGGCAGCGACGAGGACGACGACAACGACGGCGACTATGGAACTGACAGTGAGTTCTGTACCGAGCGCGAAGTGTCGTCACTCTAATCGGCCAAATTAGATAACGCGCTCTGGTGCGTAGGAAAAATGTCAAGTATAATATCGTAAAACGCCGTTGCGGTAGCGTGATGTACTGACGCTGTGCGGAAACTGGCTAAACGAAACATAACTGTCGTTTCGAATGTATTATTCTGCAAATTTCACGGAGCAAAATTTCATTCAAATAGCAGAACGACAATCAAGTCATTCGAATTCAAAGAACTTTTCACTTATAGAAAGAGAGAATTGTCCTTATATAGAGAATGAATTTTAAATCGTCGAATGAATGTTTCCACTTAAAATCAAAGAGTATATTTCACATATTAAGAATGTATTTCACCGACACACAAAAACAAATTTCATCGATGCATGTAAATGTAATCGATTGAAACATTCAGTCTTATGATTCCGAGAAGCGATATTTTTAGTCGAGTGAAGTACATATTCACTTATACAGAGTCAGAATCCGCTCTAAACTTGAGTAAAACACTTATTCTTACTATCTTCATTATCGCTTCGAGTAAATAATTGTTTTCTCGTTTCGTGTATAAATGAGATTTCACCCTGAGAAATGTAGAAATTTCATCCTGAGTAAATATTGTATAATCCCGTTTCTAGCCTCTCTATATCTTTCCTGTTTTTTCTATATAAAACTTGATCAAAAAATCTATGATGTAATATTCTGTGATCTAATAGATCATAAATAATCTCGAATCTATAATATATTCTATTGTTGGATCTATGACCTAAGAATCTATAATCTAAGATCTAAGATCTAAGATCCACATTTTCTGCCGTCTATGCGAGACGGATCTGAGATTCGATTCTTGAATTATTCGTAACTATTTGTATACATAACTTGCCAGAATAATAGGCCATTTAATAGGATTCCTCTCAGTATACATAATTCTACGTTACCGCTCATTGCACTCACCTGTTGTTTAGGCTTAGTGTTCGTCTCGTCGAGGTACGGCGGTCTCGCTTCGGTGGGCTTGCTCGGGACTTCCACTAATCCATTGTTACCGTTGAATTCTGCAACACAAGACGGGCGTGCGTCAGAATTTGCCTGAAAGCGAAACAGCGTGAAGATCCAAACGTGTAGCGCGAGAGATTTTTTCTCCCGCGCTTTCCGACATTTCGACTCGTGTGGGCGCGCGCGCGAGAGCGCTAGAAATGAATCGCCGTGATTGGGGATGAGAAATGTCCCGGCGCGCATCGCCGGATACGCACGGCCTGGTATCGTCCATTTTTCAATTTTCAAAAAATCCTTCCGCTAGCGCGCCGCCGCCTTCGTAACGTGCATGATATTTTATTGACGTGTCGGACTTTTTCCCCCAAGCTGGACACGCAGAAAGGTTCGCGGCGATTTCCCGAAATAAACGCCGCGTCAAGTCATACAGCTCGATGCAACGCGACGTGCCGATCGCCGGGATGAACTTTACGCTTCGTTTTCGACATCTCTAGCGAGCGAGGATTCCGTTCGATCAAAAACAAACACGTCGAACTAACGAAGATGCATCACTGATAGAAAAATATTTGATATTTGCAACTGTACTACTATAATTACAAACCGTATAGGAAAAAAATTGCAGTCGGGAGAATTATTTTTCCAGTAACCCGCATAGAAATTTTCCCAGATTTTGAAGTGTTACTATACTATCAGTTTTCCTAGATACATAGTATAGATTCCGATTAAAATATTCAAAGTTGTCGCAAAATAAATTATCCTATTATAATAGCAATTAGAAGTCCCATTCTCGTCCCAAATATGAAATAAACCTCTTTTCCGCGATGCTGATTGACTGTGCACTGCAGTTTGCTTCGTGCCGCTGTCATCGCCAGAGTCAAGTGACAGTTTAATTGAATATCAAAGTAGAAAGTTAATAAACGGAGTTTTTAAAATTATTTTTAATGTTGGTATACTGAATAACACGCGTGTAGCGCGCATATGTACATATATACTAGTAAAGTGAAAATGCTTAAATAATTTCATATATTTTGCTTAAACGTAATGTAAAGTGGAAACCAGAGAACAAATTTTTGGGAAAATGATGGGAATAACCAAATAGAATCTGTTTCCCACTTAGAATCATAGGATTGAAACATTATATTTCTAACCAGCATAAACTTTCCCCAACTAGAATCCATAATTGTTTTGGAAAATAGAATTGGGTCCCAATTAGATCTCAAGAAATTGACAATTTCAGGAAGAAAAGGATATAATTGCGGCCGAAAATAATTATAATTTTTATTAGCGATCGACTTATTGATTGGCCAACGAGTCCTCCGATAGTCGCACGATCATCCGCTTCGAAAAAACACAGATCTGACGCCATACCATGATCGTCGTCACCGTCCTCGTCATCAGGACCAAGGCCGCTACCCGAAGCCTCGAGGTCGTCGCGACTGTCGCCGCCGCCTCGCCCTGAGCCTTCTAAGGCTTCCTGGTCATCCAAATAGAGGTCGTCCGGGAAGGTATTGTAAGTTGAGCTTGCCGACGTTCTCTGCTTGTCGCTTGGTTCCTTCTGAAAAGCGAGGAAAACCGCGATGTAATTGAGTTCGTTGCACACCGGGATGCACGCTTGGCTCGTTAAACTGATCGTATCTGAGATATCACGGGGTGAACCGCGATATCCTGCCAAGGACGTATCCGATATGCCGAGTCAATGACACGCGCAGGGGACTTTTAAGCGAGACGCGTACTTAGGATGAAAGCCTCAGAGAGCGAATGAGGCCCCAGGTATACCGCTAACATAATTAAAAGCACGCGGCATATCCTCGCGTGCTCCTCGACGCGAGATCTACGACGCGACATGAAAAGGCTTCGGACGCCACGGTTCATTAAATTTTAATTTAACTCGCGCCACAGGTCGCGCGACATAAGAGTGACGATTTCTCTCCTTTGCTCCTTTGCGTCACAGCGAGAGTGACAGCCACCGCGCGCGCGAGCGAGAGAGAGAGAGAAAGAGGGGAAAACAAGCGCGGGGAATTTACAATTTAACACCGTACGGCGGTGGCAGAGGCGGCATCATTTGGCGGTATCACGTAATTTATATTGTAAACGCCTTCACGAAAATTTCAGCGAAATTACAACGAAAGTCGAGTCGGAAGAAAGAAGCGAAAGATGAAAGAGAGAGAGAGAGAGAGAGAGAAAGAGAGAGGGAGAGGGGACGGAGAAGCGAGAAGTGTAAACGCGAGAGGTCTCTTCTCTAAAATGGATACGGTTCCTTCGTGAAAGGATTTTTGCGTGGGTGGTACGTTTAACGTTGCTTCCTTCGACCTTCTATTTCTAGTCGGTTTATTTCCTTTCTATTACTCAGCACCGAAATAGTAGAGCCCCCTCGCTCATCGCCCTTCGTTATTTTGGGTTCGTTTCTTGCAGGGCGCATTTCTCTCTCTCTCTCACTCTTTTTCTCCGTGAACGTGTGCAGCTACGAATGAAACCTACGAGACTCGACGTTTCGTTCGCTTTAATCTCATGCTAGAATTGCGCTTCTTCAAAGGCGACCGGCGAAATCACATCATTGTTAAATTGAACAAACAATCACGCGTTCCTGTAGTCTCTCTCTCTCTCTCTCTGTTTCTCTCTGCCTTCCCTGAACAGTGATATAGAACCGCTCGATGGACGGGCGGATGATCGAGGAGGAAACGGCCGGATGGCCCATGCTTCCGGTTACGTGATGCACGCGGAATATGAAGTGTAACACGCGCTTCTAAGTGACGGGACGTCGAGAGGAGTGGAAACGTAGAGACGGAGGTCGCGGACGCGATACAGCGAATATCATAACGTATTCGTCTCTCTCTCTCTCTCTCTCTCTCTCTGTCTGATTGTAAGAAAATGTCATTTCCCCGCTTACGAGCGACAATAGGACAATGACGTGACTACCTCGTAGCCCCCTTCTTCCGCCTCGACGTCTTTTGTCGTATCAATATTCGCGATTGAATGGCGAATTAACGAGTGCGACGGTTGCCGCGCGCGCGATCGATAGCGTAAAATTCGCACTCGTTTCCTCCCCCCTCTCCTTCTTTTTTCCTCCCTCCCTCTTTCCCCTCATCCGCTTTCCGCTTTCCGCGCTCGACTGTCGAACAACACAGTGATTTCCTCCCTTTCGCTTTTGCACCGAAAGACAATGAGACCCCGATGACCGTCGAAAACGTGCGCACACACCTCGGGCAACGCGTTGCGTTTCTGTTCGTTCTATTAACGCACACGCAACGCGCGTCCGTCCGTCCGTCGATATGACGATTCCGCATTCAATACGTCAAAATTCGAGTGTACCTCGCTGAAAAGAGGAAATAATCAAATTACACGACACTAAACGCTGACAGCGGAAAACTCTCGGCCGTCTCGGAAAAGCCGGCCGGAAATATCACTCGTCGGATGTTTCTCCCGCGCAGTGTCGTACGATTTGTTCCTCTCTCTCTCTCTCTCTCTCTCTCTCTCTATCTATCTATCTCTTGCTGACTCTTTTCGTTACTGACTCCGCCGATTATTCCGTTTCCTTTCTTTCTCTGTTTTACATCTCGAGCTTTTACATCTCTCAAACGATCTTCTTCCACGTTTCTCTTTTCCCCGCGATACCTGCGGAAAAATATTTTCACCCTGGAACTTTTTTCATATTTCGCGCTTTCTCGTTTTTCAGAAACGTCTTTCGCCTCAGTATTGAAATTTTCTCACGGTCGTAGACTGCAGTGCTCGCGCGAGTGCCGTTCCCGAATGCAGCTCTCGAGAGAGATCGAGAAGGCACATATACTGACGCACACGGGGAGCACAATAGCGCGATAATTTTTCTCCCTCTCTCTTCCGAGGAGGTGTGACGAACGCACTCCGCATCCTAGTGCGAGAAGCATTCAGAACTGGTACCTAAAAGCAAATAACATTATCGCGCTATACACGGTGTACACCGAACAGCTACGAAAGAAACGTTATTACGAGGAGATTAGTGATGACGTGCCAAAGGTGCTTCGCTGAGAAAGAGAGAAAGAGAGAGAACGACGAACGTCGTGTTCAAGGTTTCAACGCCTGTTATCGCGGTCGGAGCATCGTCAGATGCCGAATCGATAACGAAAATTCAGTCCGGGCTTCGCCCCATCAATGGGAAGGGCCGACCTTGGCGACGGTCCCAACTCGTTGTTGCCGCCGACGACGATAACAATCACGACGACGTGGAATACGTAGATTCACGTAGAGCTCACGCGGATTCTGCCGTCGCTCCGTCTGCACACGCACCACCTCTCCTGTGCACACGCACCAGCTCTTTTCTCGCCCTCGCCGAGAGATAACAATTGGTAGAATACTGCGGGTGAGCTCTTTCTTCCCTACGCGCTCTCGCTCGCCCGCCGTTCGCCGAGGAAACCAGCAAGAATTGCGCGGGCGCGCGATGTTATCGACCTTTTCCTCTTGCTCGCGTTCTCGGGCACGTAAACTCCGGCTCGAGCCACCCAACGACGTCGGGGAGGTTCCGCGATGTCTCTGCACACCCTCACGCACCTGCCACGACGGCGAGAGCAGCCGACAGAAGCTGTCGAAGTCGCGGAAACTTCCAGTCGGAGGAGCAATGACGCAAGAGGAGCTTCGGTTTTTTCGTCGTTGCCGTCGCCGCCGGTTTTCCCGGGGAGATCCGCGTTCGATCAGGCCGGACTCGCGATTATATAGCCTGGTGCTTCCGCGTCGGCGGCTCGTCGTCCTCGCAGGATACGCGCGCGGATCCAGCGACCGCAGAAGACGGGAATTTTCGGAGGGTGATGCGTGGTGCTTTTCGGCCAGGTGGTGACTGCACCGTGGTAGTACAAGTCTGGTCCGGTAGACGGCACTGCCATGACGTTCGCGATTACATATATATATATATGTATATATATATATACGTGGTTATATACGCACCCGCGGCAGCTGCGTGTGTATCTTCGCGTTGTACAGGATGTTTCTTCTCGTAAGAGTGGCGGTTCCTTTTCTCTTTCTTTCTTTTTCAGAACAACTCGGCAACTCCTTCCATCCGTCACGAGCGCGAATTGCTGAGGATCGTGCGATTAACCCGCAGCGGAAAAGTCAGATGCTTTCTCCCGAGCGCCGAGGTAAAGTGCAATCGCGACAGCTTCCCTTATGCGCGTAATATTACGCAATATGTCTCTCGCATACGGAAAGGATTTCGTAGGACAAATTACTGGTAGGATTTTTTAACCAAGGAACATATCGATATTTTCTGTTTTCATTTATTATCCTTCCGTTTCGCGCGTGTGTTATTTATATTCTAGCATTTCGACGATCGCTTGTTTCGGAAAAATTTTCAAGCGCCGCCGGCAGATTTCGAGAGTCTGTTTAGACGGCATTTATAGAGATGAATATTCTTCTTGTAAATCCGCACATTTTGCTTTATACAACTCTTATACTGAAAGAAAAAATGTTTAAAAAAATTAAAAATATTTAATACTAATAACATGTTTACCTACTCCCAAATTTTTTATTTAAATAAATGTTAAATTAAAATACAATTCTCATATTTAAATAAAATAAAAATATCTAAAAATGAAATAAAAATTAAAATATCTCAAAGTAAAACAAAAATACAAATATCTAAAAAATAAAAAATATTTTAAATCATAATGGCTCTGTAACAATAAAAAAGCAATAAAATCTGGCTTATGAGAACTGGATCGGCTTTCATAGGCCAAATTTTATTGCTTTAAAAAAAATATTTATTTTTGACATTAATAAGATATTTACCTAAATCTAATTTTTTTAATAAAATAATAAATAATAAAACAATTACTTTTATAAAAACCTATAGTTTAAAAAATTTATATTTTCTCATTCGAAAGAAATTCGTAGTTCTCATAATTCTCATCGAATAAATATTTCTTATATTAAAAAAATTTTTTTTTCAGTATATACTATTACAATTGTCAACTGTCATTTTATCGAGAAATATTTCTTTATAAGGCGATGGCCACTGGCAGAATAAAGTTACATATATTTATTTTTGAACGCGACAGTCGCCGTCAAAGTGTCAAAAACTGAAGACCACTCTTAAAATGATTGTATTTTTTTTAATTTACTACATTTTTTACACGGAGAAAAAAGATTGATGGAATTAACGTTTGGTTCGTTCATTGTCACATTAATTCAAGCAATGTTTTTTCTTCATGTAGCAAGATAAACAGTTTGTTTTTATATTATTAAAAAAACAATAAAGTTGAAAATTATTTATATGAAGAAAAAGCTTTAATATTCCTCCCATGTACAAAAAGCCTAAAAGGGACGCGTGTTTCTCGATGAATCCGAACGCGATCGTCGTGCGGAGAAGAAGCGATGTATCTCGCGTATTTTGCTCGAAGATCAAGAACATTACGAACGTAACTTCGCGAAAATACGATTCTCGAGAGCCATGTTATCTTTTTTATTTATACAAAAAGAAACAAAGAGACATATGCGACGAATCCCTCGAAACCTTCGCTCGCTTCGACATACTCGATAAATCGCGCGATAAGATGATTCGCGTGCAGAGTAGAGCGCGGGATATTGAAAATC